CGGCTGTTTTTGTTTTTACTGATGGGGGGTGGGGGTGCGGCTGTTTTTGTTTTTACTGATGGGGAGTGGGGGGAGCAGCTTATAGTCCGGTGCGGCTTATATGCTGATGTTCTCGCGTTTTTTTTTAAATGACGGGTGCGGCTTATAGTCCGAAAAATACGGTAATAGCAAATATATTTTCATCTTATCAGCATGTTTAGTCAGCTAATTGGCCAAAAAACAATGAAAAAGAAACTTTTTCCTGTGAGTGTTAGCTTCCTCCGTTAGCATAGTAATACTGCCGAAATATGGCGACCTCCACAGTATTATCATCATCCGTCACTGAACAAAGTTCCCACCCCATCAATATATACACCAAATGAAAGGTACGGTGATTGGCTACACAGCTGTGGCTGTGACTGGCCAAATCTACAGTCAATTAAGCCCAGGAGGACGGAAACCAGAAGTTGGTCACTTCTGATATATTATAGCTAGCAAGCAAGCATTCTATAGCACCTTTCACAGACAAGCATTCTATAGTACCTTTCACAGACAAACATCACAAAGTGCTTCACAGAAAGCAAAAATAATTAAAAACAATAAAACAGATCACACTGAAAGCCTGTCTGAATAAAAATTTCTTAAACAGATCACAGATACAAAAACAACAATTAAATACAATTACAAAACCCCTGTACACTAGATGGTGATAAGCTTTAAACCAGTTGTATAGTTAAGATTATGGTATATGGGGATGGGTGAAACCCATGTGAGCGGGGGCCTCATAAACCAGTTACCAAAACCAGATGTTATTCTTCATCTTATCCTAAAACCAGTTGTAAGGATAAGAAGAAGAATAACTTTTGTTCTGCTTTATATGTACACTATGTAGGGAGAAACTGTTGGTTTTTTTTAACAGTTGTTAAATTATAAGTTTCTCATAACTTATTAGCATAAAAATGGGGCACCACCTGGAAAACAGGAAATTAATCTTATAGATCTCGTCAATCTCAAACACTGAATAGCGAATTCTCCTAGTTGAGAGAGTAAACGAATAAATGAACGCACAGACGAGCATAAATTTCAAAATATACCTTGTATTATTTGATTCAGAGATAACAAGCAGATTATTTGGGTAAACAGAAACCATTATTATCAAGACCTTGCAGTTTAATAATAAGCGGTGCTATCATTCCATAATAAACTCTAGCATCATTCAACTGAATCTCTCCTAAACTAGTCTACACTAGAAAAATAGAAGAAACTTAAAGATTAATAAAAAGAAAGTGTTAATTCATCTATTAAGAAGGGGCGTGAATTATAAAGAGACCAAGTTATGTGGTAGGAACACAACTTGCGTTAATTCTAACTTGATTACATTCACATTAGAGAGAGCATACCGCAAACTGCCGTGGAGTTCAGCGTAGCTCACCGGAGGAGTCTTCAGACCTCTTGGGTACTTTGTGATGGTTCAGACCAACAGCCTTGTCTTACCTCTGGTTGACTGTTCACACTGGACTGGCAGACAAAGTCCCGTTTAGATAATCCGGTGCTCCAATAGGGGTTGGCAAACCTCTCAGCTCACACAACACTCGACACCCTTCGCAGCTCGGCTGGGTCCTGACTTTGTGAATGAAGGTCAACTTAGAATCCTACGCAACTTTCCTTCCGCCCAATAACTCCGTCAAAAGTATAAAAGAAAAATAAAATAAAAAAAATTAAAATAAAAATGTCCCCAAAGGGGAAAAATGGAGCTCGGATCTTTGTCCTTCCTCCTCCTAACTTCTTCTTCACCAAACTGCTTCTAAACTGACTTCTGACTGGACCTATTGTTCTGACTGTAAAAACTCAGGATTGGCTGAAAATACTCACATGATCTATCTTCCTTTCCACAGTCTCTTACCACTAAATTGATTAAACACACAGAATGGTAGATTACCTGTGAAGTAATTAAAACAGGACATTATTACAATGATTGAATCATGATAGAAAATACAATGGTTCTTTTTTTCTTCTTTTTTTTATCAGAATGAGAAATACAGAGAGACATCTGTCCATGATGTAATTATGAAACCAGTCTTTTGGGGGCACTCTAAAACCATAAATGAGATGGTATGTAAATGTATCTTTTTGAAGCTTGCTTAGGTGTTACATCTCAGCAAGAGATCTGGTCTCACGGGGTTTTAGAGCTGTTAGATCCACTTTTGGGTAGACATTAAGTCTGCAAAAGGCTTGAGTTCTTTGTGATAAGCGGCCATTTTGAGCACATAAAAGGGGTTCTCACACAGTACTTAATCAATAGGAGGTTGTCAGGTCCTGCTTATGTTACCACCTGTAGATAGTAAACAAAAGGCTTGGAGATAAATGGAATAAGTCATTGTTCTCTTGTAGACATGGGAAAGAGGAATGTGTTGGCCAAAGTCATGAGGTGGGACAGTTCTTCTAAGTTACTGCTACAACTAGGTATTGGTATACTAGACATGTTTCAGCCTATTGCAGGTCATTTTTTAGATCCTAATTGATCCTGATTTTAACCTGGATTCATTTAATTTAAGACACAAGTTAGAGTACTTTAAACTTCTATTAACTTCTATTAATGGAAATAAACTTTATTAAGTTGCCTTGTACAAATGTGTTTCTAGTTTACTGTAACATATAATATTTTCAATTCAGCAAACCAGTACAAATATTACAAATAACTATGCTCAGTGTGAAATGTTTCCCTCAGAGCTCCTTAATGAGTCATTTAATACTCAATTCAATCAAAACTGTTCCAATTCTTGTCCTTGAAGTGGTGACTGTAGAGACTGAATGAACTGACAGTTCTTGTAAAAGAAGTATAATTAGGAAGATCTAAAGTTCAGTGGCACAGTGAGCAATACTGTAGTTACCAACCCAACTTCCTCATGTATAAATCTTTTGGTGTGGTAGCGGTCTGGATGGCAGCTACACTTGCACAAATAATATAACTGAGGAGTGAATAAATTTGAAATTGAAATTTTAAAACGTCTTTGAGCATCTAGAAAAGTACTTTGTAAGACTAATGCATCATTTGTAGCCTATATTTAGAGATCCTGATCTGTTAACTTTTTTTTATTTATAAGTACTTAAATATTTTTAAAAGCACATATCAGTACTTTAACTTAAGTAATAATTTGACTGAGCTACTTTTATTCGAGCCTCAGTACTTTGAATCAAGTAAGGAAACTGGGTACTTGCCCACCAGACTATTAGTGGTTTTGTCACAGGTGACCAAGAGCTTAAACAGTTAAATTGGAAACATTTTTATGGACTCTGAAAATAAGTCTGATAGATTAGGAACAGCTCAGGTGAGATGACATCCTCACATGTTTTCGTAATAACGTTTTCTCGTGAAATGTCAGAACTGGATTTAAAGCCCTTGTCATTCACAACACAGCCTCTAGATGGCAGTATACAGCTCACATTGTTTGAATGTAGCAATCTGGGTTTAAATAAGAATTTATCTAAGCAGCAGGACTCAAGCATGGTCTGTTCTGAGCACATACAAAAAGGTAAATCCCACAATAAAAAAAGAACTGCTTAGTGATTAGGTAAATATGAAACTTTCCCTTTTAGCTTGTCTTCATATACAAAAACATCTTGAACAAATATGCAGCTTTACATTTTCAAAGAAGGCAGATAAAAAAATGTGCAGAAATGCTGATCTGCAACTTCAAATGAGTTTGGAGACTGAGAGAAGCAGGGCAGGGAACAAAGATGCACAGAGCATCCATACATTAAAAAAGCTCTGCAGCATTCCAGCGTTCTTCCTGTTAGCTGTACAATCACAGATCTGTCCTGAGACTTTCAGCACAGCAGCAGAGATGTAAAGGTTTGCTTCTGCAGACTCTGGAACATCAACAACAAGACCTGAGGAGCAAAAACAACTAACGAAAAAGATCTAACATCATGTCAGCTCAGTCAGAGAAGACAGGAAGCAACATTAAACCAGAGGGAAAAAGAAAAGTGATTTATTCTTCAGTCTTTTTGTGTTTAACAGAAGAAAACAAAAGGAGTGTACCATTACAGTATATCATTGTTATGGTTTACAAAGTTCGCTTTTACAAAAAGTAATCTATTAAAAAGTAGGAAAAGTAAATAAACAATTAAAGTTTAAATAGTAGTTTAACAAAACTACATAAAAAGGTTCATGACATTAAATAACAAACTAAAGTAGGGAGAAAATAAATTATTTAAACCACAGTTTTAAACCAAACTAATGGTTAAAACCTCTTGGCCTACCTTCAAATACATATACATTTGTTTTAACAGTTGTCAGAAAAAAGACAGGCCTCAAACTAAACATTTGGTCTGAACTTTAAATAGATCTAAACTAGTTAACCATTTCAAAACAGCATCTAATAAGCCAAACATTTCAACAAGACAAAGTGGTGAGCTGCTCGGACTAAATCACAGCCCGGGCTATCAACAGAAGAGCTAAATAGATGAGCTGTGGTTGGAGGAACAGCCCAACCAGATTAAAGAGCGACCAGTCCAACCAGAGTAAAGAGCGACCAGTCCAACCACAGCAAAGAGAGACCAGTCCAACCAGATTAAAAAAAGACCTGTCCAACCAGAATCAAGAGAGACCAAGTCAACCACAGTAAACAGTGTCCAGTCCAACCAGAGTAAAGAGAGACCAGGTCAACCACAGTAAAGAGAGACCAGTCCAACCAGAGTAAAGGGAGACCAGTCCAACCAGAGTAAAGAGAGACCAGTCCAATCAGAGTCAAGAGAGACCAGTCTAACCAGAGTCAAGAGTGACCAGTCCAACCAGAGTCAAAAGTGACCAGTCCAAAGAGAGTCAAGAGTGACCAGTCCAAAGAGAGTCAAGAGTGACCAGTCCAACCACAGTAAAGAGTGACCAGGTCAACCACAGTAAAGAGAGACCAGGTCAACCACAGTAAAGAGCGACCAGTCCAACCAGATTAAAGAAAGACCAGTCCAACCAGAATCAAGAGAGACCAGTCCAACCAGAATCAAGAGTGACCAGTCTAACCAGAGTCAAGAGTGACCAGTCTAACCAGAATCAAGTGTGACCAGTCCAACCAGAGTCAAGAGTGACCAGTCCAACCAGAGTCAAGAGTGACCAGTCCAACCAGAGTCAAGAGTGACCAGTCCAACCAGAGTCAAGAGTGACCAGTCCAACCACAGTAAAGAGAGACCAGATCAACCACAGTAAAGAGCGACCAGTCCAACTAGACTAAAGAAAGACCAGTCCAACCAGAATCAAGAGAGACCAGTCCAACCAGAATCAAGAGTGACCAGTCTAACCAGAGTCAAGAGTGACCAGTCCAACCAGAGTCAAGAGAGACCAGTCCAACAACAGTAAAGAGAGACCAGATCAACCACAGTAAAGAGTGACCAGTCCAACCAGATTAAAGAAAGACCAGTCCAACCAGAATCAAGAGAGACCAGTCCAACCAGAGTCAAGAGTGACCAGTCTAACCAGAGTCAAGAGTGACCAGTCTAACCAGAGTCAAGAGTGACCAGTCTAACCAGAGTCAAGAGTGACCAGTCCAACCACAGTAACGAGAGACCAGATCAACCACAGTAAAGAGCGACCAGTCCAACCAGACTAAAGAAAGACCAGTCCAACCAGAATCAAGAGAGACCAGGTCAACCACAGTAAAGAGAGACTAGTCCAACCAAATTAAAAAAGACCAGTCCAACCAGAATCAAGAGAGACCAGTCCAACCAGAGTCAAGAGAGACCAGTCCAACCAGATTAAAAAAAAGACAAGTCCAACCAGATTAAAAAAAGACCAGTCCAACCAGAGTCAAGAGCGACCAGTCCAACCAGATTCAAGAGCGACCAGTCCAACCAGAGTCAAGAGCGACCAGTCCAACCAGAATAAAGTGAGACCAGTCCAACTAGAATCAAGTGAGACCAGTCCAACCAGAGTCAAGAGCGACCAGTCCATCCAGAGTAAAAAGAGAGCAGTCCAACTAGAATAAATTGAGACCCGTCCAACCAGAGTAGAGACCAGACAATCCAAGCTGTGGAACTGCACATCTGGGCAAACAAATTAACCTACATGCAACTATACAGTGTTACACAAACCAAAAGGCCTCAGGCCATAATACTTCTGAATGCATCAGAAGCTGCTGATTCGATATCCATGCACAAAGTCACAGACTTCTATTTGTAGTGTGTCAGGAGACAGCCCCTGCCTGTCCTCAGTGTCAGCCTCAGGTTCTGTCTCCTCTATCAGAGGCTGCCCCCGATTTTTCATCTGTCTCTGGTACCGTGCCATGACCAAAGCATAGATACAGCCATAGGTTGCAGCCACAACCATCATGACACACACCGTGCCACAAACCACTCCGGCAACTATCTGTGTGCCATGTGCCCGGCGGACACTGACGGGCCGGTAGCGCTGGCGAACACAATCATTGATGTTGCTGACCCGTCCAGGCAGGCAGGGTGGCTGGGCAGGCTGATCCAACTCTTTGGTTCGGTTCTGCAGGCAGTAGCTGAACATCTCTGCTGGCAAGCTGCGGATGTCCCTGCCCTTCAAGTCCTTGGGGAGACTGCACTGCATCACATCTACCTGCCCATCTATAAAACAGATGACAAGGGCAGAGAGGGGAAAAGGAAGTAGATGAAAGGGGAAAAAATAAAGAAAGGATAGACGGGTAGGACAGAGATGGAGGTCATTATATTCTTAGATGTCTGTGCTTGGCTTACATTCATCTTGCAAAAGAAGAAATTTAGTGCTTTGATTTTACGGCACTTGCGTTTGAAAAATCCAAAGTATCAGTAGTGAGTGTCTGAGGTTCTTGACAGCTGTGCTCACCCCTGTAAATTAACCACTCAATCCAGTGCTTGAAGTCCCTTAGCTTACAGTCACACTTCCAAGGGTTTCCAGCCAGGTGGAGATCCTGTAGTCTCACCAGTGGCTCAAATGTTACCCTGTTCAGAGACACGAGCTGATTGTTGGCCAGGGACAGCCAGGTGAGTCTTTGAAGGCCATCCAGCAGTCTTTTAGGCAGCCACAGGAGCCCATTAGAGGACAAGTCGAGCTCCTGCAGCTGCTGCAGTCCCTTGAAAACCTCCATGCTCAACCCAACTCTGCCTTGATTTCTGTCCGAGGCCTGGACTGTTGCTCTGCTGTCTGCAAGGTTGGAGGTTGACAGACGTAAGCCGAGGTAGTTAGATGAAAGATTTAAAGAGTGCAGGCTGCTCAGGCCCAGGAAAGCTCCAGGCTGCAAACTGTAGAAGTGGTTCTGAGAGAGATCCAGGAGCTCCAAGCTGCTCAGGTTAAACATACCAGCGTTGCCCATGGAGGAGAGGTTGTTCTGGGACAAACGGAGAACCAGGCAGTCTCGACCTAGCAGCTCCAGGATGGGTGCCAGTGAGACGAGGTTAGCAGCAGAGCAGTTGGTTGTGTTCCTGTAGCATGTACAGACACCAGGACAGCCACCGGCTGAGCCCAGAACTCCCAGGAGAACCAACTCTATGCCGGCCCAAGCCACACAGACTGAAAAACAGAAAAGAGAGAAAATAACACTCCCTTTAACAAAACACAGCTGAATACAGTCCATGTTTTCACTCAGAGAAGCTCTTGCCTGAGATACATAGCATGTCTGCTGACATTGGATTAAAAAAATTAATGCGTGGCCACAAGATAATTATTGCAGTTATTTCCATGCAGACAGTTGATAGCTTATGAAAAAGTTTGAATTAATTTGATTTTATTCTAATATAGGAATGAATTACAAGTTTTTTTGAAACTCAACATTCCATGAGATAATAACTTGTGACCACGCATTAACTATCTTGTGACCACACATTATTTGTTTTAATCCAATGCCACTGGACGGGCTCTGTACCATTCTGAAAAATTTAAAAGCTAAAATGTTCCATCTTAAACAAAGTTTCTCTTCAGATTTCTCCTGCACTGCTGTCACACACACGGTTGAAGGTTAAAAACCATAATGTTTTTGCTCATGTCTATAGGTGCCTGTGTCCACATGTGCTCTTTGTATTGTTAGCAAATTAGTTTTTCAACCACTTAATATAAGTTTCAAAAAACAGCCACAGAATAAACATCTAAAAGTGATTAACCTTCAAAACACTGTTCAACATGGCTGCCACAGCCTGAGAAAACACAAAAATGATACAACTCAGCCAGTTTTACAGATATTGAGCTGAAATTTGGTGTGGTTGTATCTGAGAGTCATTCTAGACATACTAAAAGCTGTATTATGCATAGAAGTCATTTTCAACCTTTGGTCAAAACAGGGATAAATCCATCATTTTCATCAGATAATAAGCTCAGTATAAAACTCTGACATGAAAGGTGGCAGGTGATATACATTCCTTCAAAGAATGCTCGGTCTTTAATTTCCTGCTGTTAACATCTGCCGTGTTGTTTAATATTGGGGCTGTGGTTGTTCTGTGGATTCATCAGTCCATCTATTGTTTCCAACTGGTTTTCAGGAACAGATGTGTTTCAGCTGTCAGGGTAACACAGAATTTACTCTTACAATAATAAAAGACTCACCCATACTCTTCAGCTGGCTGAGGCCAAGCGGGTTACGGTTCTGCATATCTGTGGCATCAACTCTACAGGAACTTCAGATTTCCATTTGTTATTTCTCGTTGTTGAGCCACTTTACTATCCAGCTGTGGATAAGATCCTGTGAAACAGAAAAGAAGAGATGGCTAAAGAAAATAGACACTTAAAGTTTTGTTGTAAAAGTGAACTATAGCAGCTGATTTCTGAACTCTTTGCCTCCACTGAGAATTAGTTTTGCAATTACTGAAGAAAGAATTTTGTAAAATTGTTTTCAAACATGTATATGACCCAGTTTTTTCAATGGCTTTGTCCATCTGTCAGCTGATTTGGTCAAGTAAATTGTTTTAATTTGTTGACTTTTTTAACAACAAACTAAGATCTGCACTCAGTACGGTGATGAAATTAAAGAACTAAAAAATAGCTGCTGCAAAACAAAACAGAAAATGGAGGAAAATCAAAATCAAGTGTTCCAAAACCAGGTGCAAAGGCTGATTATGAAC